ATTTTAACAGTAAAAATTGATAGAGTATGAACACGTATGAAATGAATGCTATCACAGAACTCTCATTTTATTTGCTAAATTCATGTATATTTCACAATTTACAATGACATTAAGCTAAAAAAGGAAATGAAGAGAAGCATAATGGATGTTAATTTAAATATATCAATCAGATTTTTAACATCTTTCCTTATGAAAGAATCTGGACTTCCTCTACCATGCAATTAATAAAATTTTCAGAAATCTTTATTTGTTAAAGTCTACAGAATTCCACATAAAATCAGAATCAGTCAAAGAGTCATCTGACTCAAAACAATAAAATGCTAATTTATCCATGCCTTCTTGACTACATACTTACTTGACTTTGAACAGTTAGATATTACATCTAATTATTTTCTTGTGTATAATCAGTTATTAACTATATACCACCTTTTGATTATCTCACTGCTAATGATTAACAGGGATTATGTTTGCCTTTAGAATTATTCCACTGACTTTTTTTGCTTATTATGTTTGGCCGTTAATTTTATCTAACACCTATTGGAGGTTTAGTTACTCTGTACTTGGCACTATACAGAGCCTAGAGATATGCAATGAAATAAGCCATGGTCCTTGCCCTTGAAATTTCATTATCTAACAAGGGAGTGACAACAACACCATAATAATAATAATATCTAACATTTATTGATTTATCTCTTTCAATGCTCTCAATAACCCTTCGAGTTAAGTATGATCCCTGTATCAGATGAGGAACTGACATTCAGAGAGGTTAAAGTACTTGCCCATGTTCGCATGGCTCTTAAGCAGGGGAGCAGAACATAAACCCAGGCTGTCTGGCTACAGAGAGACCACATTCTCAGTCACCATATCACACGGCCTTTCACTATAACTCACCTCACCACTGTATCCCTTTATAACTATTCTGGAGAATGAACAAAGCATGGCGGGATTAATAGACGATGATTAATTCCATCTGAGGAGGAGAAGGAAGGTGCCATCTAATTGCAATCTTAGAGGGAGAGCAGCAGGGATTTCATCAAGCAGGGATGGACTGAGGGCACAGAAGAGGGCAGAAATGAACACAAGAAGCAGGAAGATGCATAATGACTGGCCCGAAAAACTGAAAGGACTTCAGCTAGACTAAAGCCCTTGATGGCTGGGAAGACAGAAGTACAGGATGTGTAAAGAAAAAACGGATTTCTAAATTGTCAAATAAATGTTAAAGAACCAATTCTTCTTTTTTGATACATTACAGTTGAACTCAAAACACCAGCTAATTTCCAAAAGCCCTTAATATTATAGTTTAATGAAAATAGTTACTGTTTTCTTATTCCAACATATCTGAATGACAGCATCAAAAGTGAAAGGAACCATTTTGCTGAGAAAAATGAGAAGAGATTTGATTGGTGCTGTCAGCAAGAGTCAAATACCAGGCGACTCAATCTTCAATTGGCAACCAACTGAAGCCAGACACTGAACTCATCAATGACTCCAGCACTAGTCCTGCCCTCAAGCAATCTGCAGTCCAGTGTGGGAGGTAAGTGACCCATTGTGGCTCCCGTGTGCGATACGTAATGACAGAGAGAGGAACAGAGTAGCACAGGAAAAGTGAGGAGGGAGAATGTTATTTAGGAGATGAGGGTGGGAGTGGAGAAGACGGATTCATTGGTATCAGGTAAGATTTCTTGGAGGTGACATTTCTGCTGGGTGTTAAAATCAAGGAGCTGGGATGGGAGGGGCAGAGCAGGGGATTCTACCCCCAAAATCAGCATGAGCCTGGCCTTAGCAAACCAAGTGGTTGGGAGAGGAACCAGGGCAAGTTTGCTGTCACTGGGAGAAGAGGTAAGAAGAGTTGTGCGGCAACAGGGCAGATGCCCAACAATGAAGCTGCTCCTAAAACAGTGTCCAGAGAGAAACAAGAAATATTTATCAGGGGAGATACAAGATCAATTTCCATTTGGGGTAGGTCCAGGGGCAATGCTCACAATGTTAACAACCTAAAATGGCACTGACAATCAGAATAGCCTGCACAGAGGGAAAGGCTCCTAGAGGCCCTCTGCTTTGCAGACCGGTGCCCTGCCAAGTTGCTAAACAGGGCAAACGGCTGGGTGGTGTTCCCAAAAGAAGGACCAGCAGGGCTGAGGACTCAGGGGACGGGGGTAGTAGCTATTTGCTAAACAGTAAGAAAGTATTTCAACATTTTACTAACTGGCCTGGTGGTACTGATACATGTTGGCCAAATGTCAGCCCTAGGTAGACAAATCTATATGAGAAAGATGGATTTTTAAGAATAGCCTAGACCGCAAGTTACAATGGTTTGGGCAATATAGGATGAGAGTCCAAACCAGGTCATGAAGAATAGTTACTCATGAAATATGCAGGACCTATTGCTAACTAAGGACTGATTTTCCTGGGCTTAACTTCATATGCGAGCATGTGCTCCCATTTAAAGGTAATGCAACCAATTATTGGAAGTTCAAGTTGTCTAGTTAGTACATTCAAGGGATTAAGAAAAAAAAATGCACACAAAGAGTAAAAATTGCCCTAATATAAAGTGTAAACTGTAAAGAAAATCCTCTGTTCAAGTACTAAAGCTTAAGTACATTTACACTGTCGACATTAAGATTTTTAACTAATTTTGTGTCATGAAGAGTATGTTCTGTCTTCATTCGGTTCCATCACGTCCATCTATGAAGCATGAACAATAGTGTGATGTGTCCTTGCTCTCTGGCCACAGGATGATCTTAAAAGGACAGAATAGTAGGAAGTTGACAAATCTGAGTGTTTATTTAAAGCTTTCTACTTTAGCAGGTAGAAACTCTCCGTATCCAGAGGGGAAGGTTGTGACATTGATGAAATGTAGGGTTTCATCATTTTTAATCCTTTCCTACCAACTGTGATCGCCTAAGACAGAAGGGTTCATCAATTTTAAGTTGCTCCTCAAAAACCACACACCTTTCCTCACAGGCTTCTCTGTGTTGCTGTTTCTGTGCCTTTCGTGGGATTTTACCAATAAAAGACACAGTAAGTAAAGCTGAGCCGGTCTACAGAAGCATGGATGGGTGCATCAAGTACTCTTATGGGGCCGAGATTATCAGAAAAATCTTGCCAATTTTCCTCTGAGTATGTGGTATCAAGTAATTATATTATTATCACGCATTTTGACCCAGCTGAGATTGTCTTGGGAAGTTGGGATATTTCTAAATTTAGCAAATTGGCTCTCTTTATGGAAGTCACTAGGGTAAAGTATGACAAAATACATCATTCTTCATTCATTCATTCACTATTTATTGAGAACTTACAGTGTACCGCAACACCTGTTCAACCAATGACTACGCAGCCATTAAAATGATGGGAATATTATTTGTGACATTATTCAAGGATAAGCCAGAAATAAGGAAAGTATTGTGTAATTAAAAACCACAGAGAACACAATTACATATGACCACACAAAGCTAAATGGAAAAAAATGTGGTTCCATTAGGTTGTTAGATTTATGCCTCTACTGTTTGCTTCAATGTAGTTTAGTGAAAGATATCTAAATCCCCCATTTTAAAAATCAATAAAAATGCTTTCATGTTGCTTGCTCCAATGAAACACACATTTTTTTCTAAGATATATGACAAATTTGTACTTCTGTGCCAAAAACTTCAATGCACGGGCTGCCTGATTCAATGCCCAGCCTCTGGGCTGACTTCTCCATGAGGCACTTTAAGCCCAGTGCCAAAGGCCCACAATACTTTTAGGGGCCCAGAAAATATTTTCATGTCTCAAAATCAGGAGCAAAAGGAAATAAACTTTTAAGCCAAAGAAAATCTTTTAATATGCAATATCAATACATTTGTTTTTATACCATTGCAGTCATAAAATGTAATTTTTGATATTTTTGTGTAGAGAAAAAGGGGACCAGAAGGCAAAAATGCTTAAGGCCCATGAAAGTCATAACAAGGCTCTTCCTGGCCTGAATTTCTTTTAAAACAACAGCAAAAACAATTATCTCCCCAATTCCCCTAAAAACCTTTAATATGGTTAATTTGGAAAGCAAAACATTTGGAGCACTCTAACTGTACACAGCCCTAAATTATTTTTAATACAATGTAACATACCTTTAGTGCCAGACTCGAAAATGTATTTGAAACATTGCATTTAAAGCTCAGCTGCTTATCCAGGTTTCCATCCGGATCACGTCTCCCATAATCCGAAAGTCCAGTACGGTCAGAGGCTGCCACTTTCTGGAACACGGTACAGGTCATCCCGGTGAAGCCAGAAGCCTTGATGACATAAGCTTCCAGAGCAATATTGGGAGAATACTTCAAAAGTCAATCAAACAGGAGTTATGAACGATTTATAATACAAGCAAGAAGCACTTTCAAAGACTTTTCAAACATAAAACACTGTACATAAGCCAAACCAGAAAGCCCAGGTTCTTACTAAAAAAAAAACCAAAACACTGTATTAGATAACTGGCAGAATTAAAAAAAAAGAAAGACCTTAAAATGAAAAGGATGTCCTAAAATGGAAGGAAGACTGAAAAAGAAGAAAAGAAGAAGCCATGAAGTGTGGAAGATCAGATATAAGTTAGAAGTCAATTAGAAATAATTTGAAGAATACCTTGGAGGAAACAATAAGCTAAAAATGGAAGTTTCTTAAAAAAAAAAAAAAATCAGCTGGAGAAACCAGTGGACCCTCTACTGACCACCTTACAGGAGAAATGAAAAATATTAGGATTTGGTAAATACACTGCACAGTCACCCTGTTCAACGTTTTAGGCCATATTCACTTTTTTCTTTCACAGGGAGATCGAGTTGACTCTATGCACTAAGTTTCACTGATAAAAACTTCACACAGACTCACTCCAAAGCTGTTTCTTCAGAAAAGGAAGGGAGGAACTAGCTCAAATTGTAAGAAAATGAACAGATCTAAAACGCAAATTAGGTCAGAAAGATGGCACCTGCCCTAGAGTTTTAAAGGAATTCAAGAGCGAGACTGAGCTGAGGGGTCCACCAAAACGTACAACCTGTCAGTACAAACAGCCGCCAGGCCCACACCCTGGAGGGCTGCCTGCATTCACAGCCATCCGTCACAACCACAGCAGGGTGGGCACGAGAAGTGACAAGCTGACGAGACGCATGTTCATATCCAGCAAGAGGACAGGATTTACTGTAAATTCTAAGGACAACATGGCATCCCCCTCCTCCCTTCAAGGATGATTAAGTATGTGCCTACCATATGGGCAAGGCCCCATTATAGGCACCATATATGGACATCATTTTTCTTTTTAAAGTATGAGACTCTGATGCAAGATGCTTAAAATCTATTACAGACATAAGATAACAATTAAAAAATATAAAAACATAGAATGTAAACAAGTCCCATACATGATGGTAGAAAATACTTAGTCGTTCCCAAACTTCTCCAGAGTAAGAAATCTTTCCATTAGCTTTTGCCTCTCAGTGTGTACACAGGGAAAGTCTTATTGAATTGTATTTGTTGACTGGCAATGTATATCCCAATTTTTTACTGGTCTGAGGCACATATAAATAACCACCAGAGCCTCTGTTAAGCAGCAATTATCATGACCAACACATGAAACCTCAGTTAAAAGACACAAATCTGTCATTTTGAGACACCCTGAAGCTGTATCATCTTTACTTATTATATATAGATGTATAATCTCCTGGAACCTTTTTTACATGTTAAAATGGCGTGCAAAACCCCACTATGACATTTATTATACCCTTGGTTTCTCAGAAGACCCGATGAGGTTCAGAGGGAAGAAGAAGTTCTTCAGGCTGATTAACAAGCAAGGCTAAAGGATGGGATTTAAAATGGGTCTAAATGGCTGGGGAGGACATAAAAATGACAAGCTGGTCTCAAGTAAGGTCATGTATCTGAGCGGGAAATTACCCTGAAGTATGTTGTAAAGACAGTAGCCATAATGGGCCTCCATTTTATTTTTTGGTCAGGAAAGTAATCCTCAACATAATTGAGCAAAAGGAGCAATAAAACACAGTATCATCAAAAAAGATCTAAAAAAAATCAATGGAAAAAATAGTAATCTCAAATTGTATAAAGTTACAGGAGTAAAGTGTAGAATATTCTATACTATGTGAGCCCACTAAAATAATCAGGAAATGAAAATCATGGACCAGATCAACATTTGACTGCTAATGGAAAAACACAGCATTTGCCACGATTTACCACGTTTTTTAGGACAGAAAGTAAGCAGGACACACCAAGAAATTTACAAGAGTTCAATTTAGCGTAAATAAAATTTAATACTATTTAATTGAATGATCATTATTTATTAATAACTCATTATCCCAAGAGTGGGATTGACTGAAAATGCCAATAGCGTCACGTGTGTTGGAGGGCATCCCAGTTCTCTTCTGAGGCTGAAAGCTGGGCAAGCAATCAGGCGTTCTCTCAAAACATCCTTGAGGGCCCATAACAGAAGGTATTAGCTCGGATGTGAGTGCCAGTGGGGTAATACTGTAGCGTTCCAATTTTCATAGTAGAAACGGTTTCAGTGGATTAGATGGTGAAAACTATTCAAATTACAGATTAACAAAGTGTTTTCCAGTTAGCAAGAAAATACTACTCAAAAGCAAAATTAACTCTTAAAATGTCTGAGAAAAGGAAATTCTGTAATAACCAGCATTAAGAGAAAACACCTGCGCCATAAAGGGGACGAGATCTACATCTCTTTTGGGTTAGAGCTGCTTCAAATGAATTTTCTTCCTTGGAAGTCAATGGTAATGTTACACTTACTGTTGAATAAACATGAGCACCATTGGCCAGCCGGTATGTAGCGACACGCTGCAGACACTGGACGATTCTACTGCAGGCTTTAGCTTCCCTCTGCGCCAGCCACAGGACTCGCTCATCAGCCAACATGATGTTACTTGCAATGTCAACCATCACATCGCCCAGCTAGCAGGAGTGCAGGAGAAAGAAGGAAGATCTTTAAAACCAACACAGGCTACTTTATACAATCAAAATCCTAATGAGACAGTGAGAATGGCCTTCGGTCTAAATTTTCACATGAAAACCCAACAGGCACTTTACTTGTTTCTCATTAAAGCATCTTCAGATACGAACAGCACCTTCAATTACAGCCATCTGGTAATACTTAGCTCAAAACCGTGTACACTCTGGTAGCCACCACATCACTGCTGAAAAGACTGCAGTGCGATATCTCAAAGGGAGAAAAGGAAAGGCAATCAGATGAATTGGGGAGAAGGAAAAGATGTCATATGATCTCAGAATAAAGAGATTGCTACTCTTTGTCCAGAAAACCCTTTATATATACTTCTCTTTGTGTAAGCATTAGCTTAAATCAGACTCTGCTATCAGGAAGAAATACACACTTTCCACCTCTTTAGTCTCCTGTCATGTTCAAAATCCTAGGCATGTCCAACTACCATGAGTTTCCTGTATTTGTTGTGTGATCTCACACCTCTGTCCCCTGGTATATGCGGTTTCTTCTACCTCAAATGAACTTCTTCTTCCCTTCCTCCCCCAACTCAATGAGCAATTTAAGAGCCAGTGCCCTGAAATAAATGGATCCTAAGAGGTGCTCACTTTCCCACTGCTTGTTTTACTTGTTTCATTTATTGGATTCTTTGCATTAGCTCTCTTCATAACTCACAGATGTAAACATCTGTCAGGCAATGCCAGTGAAAAGTCAATTGACTACTGTTTACTGTGACTTGTACGTCCCACCTCAGAGAAATGCACTGAACAGTCCAGGGCTAACGAGACATACTGGTAACAAGAGGGTTTTGTATTGAGCAGAATGTTCACGAGGGGGAGATCTGTGGCAGAAAGAACAACAAAAACAGTCCAGAGGTAGGATCAGAGGATTTGCAAGCTGGCTGCTCCTCTAATCAAGAAGTAAGCATCAAAAGGCATTAAGCCTCAATGCCAAGCCAGAAAGCCAGGGCTGTGTTAACAGATGTCTTTTGATCATCCCAGAAGATCCCAACTGAGATTTCAATCCCATTCTGCATTCAAGACACTTCACAAGATGTATAATTATGAGGGCTAAGGTGGGCTGGAAGATGTTCATTTCATCCCACCCTGGTTCACTTTACAAGGAAGATGGCCTGTGGAAATCCACCAGATCCCAACCCTAGAACCATGGGGCAAAGCAACTACACTAAGTTCAGGGGTGAGGAACAGAGCTTCAAATGCTGGCCATGATCACCTGGGCTGGAGGCTTCACCTGTCCCCCATTCCGTATCTCCATTTCTTTTATTTGTAAATGGGGAAAATAATAGTCCTTTCTTTTCTGAATATTGTGAAGATTAAATTCTAATAATAAATATGAAGTTTCTGAAACCATGCCCAGCACTCAAAAAACGTTGGCTCTTCTTGCTATTTTACTGCTTCTTTATTGTTTTTTTCCCCACCATTTCAATCCCAAAATAGGCCTCTCTTTTAAGATGACAGGCTCTAGAAGAAGTGGTAAGAGGGCTGCATTTTTAAGTCTGTGTTCATATATAAATAGGACCAATGCACCCAACAAAACTGCCTTTCGCCCTCTGTAAAGACTCACCTGCCCACCAATTTTAAGAAGCTTCTTGACTTTGTACTGCCCTTACCATAGTAGAGCACAATTATTTTCTTATTTTACTTCCAAGATAAACACCTTGAGGGCAGGAACAATACAATGTCTTACTTATATTTATATCTTTATTCACTACTATAAGACCTGGTATCAAAGCCGGTGGTTGTCAATGTTCATTCACCCAACGTTTATCAATGTTCACTTACAATGTTCGTTATTATCATTTATTTGCAAAAGTTCACTGACTAAATACGTATTGAGGGCCAACGTGAGCCAGACGCTGCCCTGAGCAGTGGAGCTAAAGCAGTGAAAGAAACAAACTCCAGCTTCAAGCTTACAGTCTAGTGAAGAAAATAGAACACAAACAAGTAAACCCATTTTTAAAAAGTGATTTAGACTGTGATAACTGCTATGAAGAAAATGAGCTGAGTAATATATGCTGGAGAGTAATGAAATTTAATCCAAACAACTTATTTTAATGGACTCACACATTTTCAAGGGGTATTTTCCCCCAAACCAAGGCATTAACAGGATCAGCTGACGGAGAATTAAGAAGAGTCTACAGTCAAGCTTTGTGTTAACAGAAGCGTCAGCTGGTTCATTTTATACAACTCATTGGAAGACCAACATCCTAGTACATTTTCCTACAAACAAACAGGTATGCAGGTGGATGTCATTCTACTGGAAGTTGTTATTTCTGGAGTTATGAAGGAAATGACTCCTGAATCTGTCACCATCAGCCCTTTATGCAGATGGTGAACCAATAATTCCCTCTTAATGGGAATTCAGAGTAGCTAGAATAACTTGGCTAAGTTTTTGTCTATTATTCTAACTTACTGTTATTTAAAGTTTTTACACAACAATAGGTAAAAGAGATGACATAGTAAAATATTCTCTATGGCATAGAAATGAAGTTCCTATTGGCTATAAAACCTTAAAAGACAAAATACACAAAAATATTGATTCTACTCTAAGGTATCTCTGAAATATATGAGGTATTTACAGACTAGCACAATTACAACTAAACTTACTAATACTTTTTTGAAGTTTTAAACATATGGACTTTATAAGGACCTGATATGAGACTTCATAGATACGTCATCTCTCCTAAAAAATGATGATTATTACGTGATCAAAGAAATACTGCTATGCCCCACTAGATAATGCCAGTAAAGAAATGTCACTTGTGTTAATAACTGTAAAGAAGAGAAATACCTCTAAGAAGATATAGAGCTAACAGGTGATTGCCTTAGCTGAAAACGACCTCTTTTTCTCATTATTTCACTCCAAATGGCTAAGAACTGAGGAAAAGGATTTGTTGCCAAAATATTCCCTAGAGCAGATAATCATAAAATGCTATATGCTTCTGCAGCTCGGTTACAGAAGTAGTTCTGAATCCATCACAGTGGCAAAAAAGGACACGAAAGGGATAACAATGCATGAAAAATTACATTGGATTAAAAAAGCATTCCTGAAACCTGACACATAAAGATAGTTTAAAAACTGCAACCAGCACTAGAAAGCATCGTATTTCTCCTTGGCCTCATTCCCTGAAGGCCACTCCAGCCACAAAAGGGTCAGAAGGAATCGCACACCTGCTCTTGCACCTGTCTCACTAAAGCATGAGGACCAACTGAAAATACACGTGAATGCACTTTATCAAAGATAAAACAGTGAAGAAACAAAAATGCTACGTTACTAACAATGAAAGTGTTCAATGTCATTTGTTGTATCAGGATATTTCATATTCTTCTTAACATACATATGGCTTAGAATTTTCATCAAAATTAGGTCAAACTCACCTGTAAATTTAATGAATTTCTGACATGTTACCATGTTAAATATATAAGATAATACATAAACTAAACTTGATATTTAAGTTTAATGCACAGTGTTTAAAACTGAAGACAGAATATTTATGCGCCTTGGAGTTAAATACTCCTGGGTTAAGATTTCAAGTCCGTCACTTACAAGTTTAGATGTTCTTGAGCAAATTAGTCTAAGACTCAGTTTACTCATCTGTAAAATGAGACCGAGAACTCTGAGAAGTGCTCAAAACCATCTCAATTCCACAGAAAACCAGGAAAAAAGAAAAACAAAACAGAAGGCAAATATCTTCACATACTCAGTAGAAATGTAAATTAAGCAATTCACGCAGTTTTGAGAAAAGTCAAGCAATCTCGGCCGGTCCTCGTTATTTACATTTTCAAGCACAGAGCAGCAAGGGACACGTTGGTCAATTCTAATAACCAGACACGTGTGTAGGTGGGGCAGCAAGCTGGGTAATGGTTCGGGGATAGTTAATATAGAGATGAGAAGCTCTGACTTATTGTGGCGTAGAAGTAAAAAGAATGAGGAGGAGTACAATAATGGAGGAACTGAAGAAATGGGTGGGAAGGGAAAAGGGGAAAAGAGGCTGAGAATAGTGTTATACAGAAAATGCCTTTCTTTACCGGCAGTCCCTAGGGGGGCCTAGCAGTAGTTCTTTGATCATGTAATAATCATAGTTTTTCAGGAGAGACGATGTATCTATCACATCTCGTGCCAGATCTTCATCAAGTTCGTATGTTTAAAAAAACATTTAAACAGTAAGCTTAGTTGTAATTGTGCTAAGCTGTGAATATCTCATATATTAAAGGATAAAATACACAAAAACACTGATTCTATTCTCAGGTATTACTGAGATACATGATATTACAAAAATGTACGAGCATTTCACTTTCTGGAAGTATGGAGGGCTCAGTACTCTGGACAACTCTCCTGTGAAAAGTGAAAAATGCGGAAGGAAAACAGTTATCTTTGTACATGCAACGACAAACAGTAAGAAAATAAAGACTCCTCCAGAGCACAACTGCAAAATAACGGCAGGAATTCAAAGAGCTCAGAGGTTGAATTCCGATGACCACAAGCTACGTTTTGATGTCATGGGCTGTGCGACGCAGGCTTGATGGGAGAAGACCCTCTACTGCAAAGCTGACAATCCAAAAGGAAACAACACCTCCAGGCTCAGGCCCAACCAGCTATAACGCAGCCTCACGGAAGGGGAGAGCGAGGAACAGGCCTGTCTCAACCTGGGCAAGAAGTAGAAGGAAGTAAAAAAATTTCTTCTCTGACACTTCGTAAACACAAATCAACTTCACACTACTATTGTGGACCGAAAAACCTCAAGCTAAGAATTAATTTCAAACTCAGCCCCCTACCCTGGTATTAGCCCTGAACACTTGGCAGAAGCAAACACATATCACACTTAATGATACATTAAGCCACTCTCATTAACACCCCTTGTCACCGGCTTTTATCAACACTGTTCCGGAAGTCCCCACCAAAGTATAAGCAGAAAATAAATAAATAAAAATAGAGG